ATCTCTGGGTGGAAGGAGGCGAGCCCCGCACCAGAAACCACCCTCCCGGCAGCAGAGAGAGCAAGAAACAATCTCCTTCCCCTTCCTCCTGCACAACTCGCTGTCCCCTCCCTTCCCTTTCCCCGAACGCTGATTTCTGAGATGAAAATCTTCCTCTCCGGACAGCCGGGACTCATATGAAGGACACGCAAATATTGGATCGTAAATAAGAAGCGAGTCTGGCGAGCTCAGAAACCCAGCCCAAAAGGAGCAGCATCAAGAATCCACCCTTCTCCTGCACAACTCACTCCCCACCCAACACACATAGAATACTAATTTCCTGAGATAAGATCTTACCCCTTTAAACAACCACACACACGCGCACACACACACACACACACAGAGTGTGTATTATTACTAAATATAATAGGTTAAACCCAGCAGCACGGGGAAAAGCCTCTTCTGTAACTCACTCCCCCTTTTCACCCTTCTGAATGCTGAGATCCTGAGGTAAATTTTTCCCTTAACCACAGCAAAGACTCTTTTTGAACAGGACACAAATATATATTAGATTATAGAGATGTATTAAATTATTCCAGATTTAAATCTATTTTTTGCTGCCAAGGGGTCGGGGGACCAGACGTCATTGTATATATATTATTTTTTTTTTTCTTCCCTCTTAACTCATTTATGGGCGAGCCAAGGCTGCTGAGGAAGAAAAAAACAGGATAGTTAGAATCTCTTTATCGTTATTCCCTAGAAGCTTTTTCTCTCATTGCTGTGCATTTCCTTTAGAAAAAGGAAACCTCTTATTTTGTGAACCAAAGATTTATTTTTTCCCTTCCTCCTGGCCAAAGGAAGGAAACGGACACAAATTGACACATTTAAATAGTTGAAGAGATCTATCTTTTGCAAAAAGCAAACATCTTTATCCAAATCTGAAAGAAATAGCGTGGAGGGAGAAACTGGAATATTTAGCTAAAACCGGGATACTTGCTAATCTCGCCTCAGGAGAGGACGAGGTAAACACTAAACATCAACTTGTTCTTACAGGGAGGATTCAAACCCTAAATATAATAAATGGGGGATTACGGGTTTGGAGTGTTAGTGCAAAACAACACTGGAAATAAGTCAGCTTTTCCAGTCAGATTTCATCCACATCTGCAGCCTCCACACCATCATCAAAATGCAACCCCCAACCCTGCTGCTTTTATAAATAATAACACAGCTGCCAATGGCAGTAGTGCTGGGTCAGCTTGGCTCTTTCCTGCTCCAGCTGCCCATAATATTCAGGATGAGATTCTGGGGTCAGAAAAATCTAAAACTCAGCAACAGGAAAAGCAAGAGTCCCTAGAAAAACAGCAGCTTTCCCCTGGTCAAAGTCAGGAAGCAGGCATGCTCTCTGAACCGGAGAAAGCTAAAACTGAAGAAAATCAGGGCGATACTTCTTCAGAGAACGGCAATGGAAAGGAGAAAATAAGAATAGAATCGCCGGTGTTAACAGGATTTGATTATCAAGAGGCTTCGGGGCTAGGTACTTCGACACAGCCCTTGACATCCACTGCATCTTCTCTGACCGGTTTTAGTAACTGGTCTGCAGCTATAGCTCCTTCTTCTTCTACAATAATCAACGAAGATGCAAGTTTTTTTCATCAGGGAGGGGTCCCTACTGCCTCAGCTAATAATGGTGCTCTGCTGTTTCAGAATTTTCCACATCACGTCAGCCCTGGCTTTGGTGGTAGCTTTTCCCCCCAAATTGGACCCCTCTCTCAACACCACCCTCATCACCCCCATTTTCAGCATCATCACAATCAACATCAGCAACAGAGGAGGTCTCCTGCAAGTCCTCATCCACCTCCATTCACACATAGAAATGCTGCTTTTAATCAGTTGCCTCATTTGGCTAATAATCTTAACAAGCCACCTTCTCCATGGAGCAGCTACCAAAGTCCATCGCCTACACCATCTTCCTGGAGCCCTGGTGGCGGTGGATACGGTGGGTGGGGTGGGTCCCAAGGTCGAGACCACCGCAGGGGACTGAACGGAGGGATAACACCCCTGAACTCCATCTCGCCCTTAAAGAAGAATTTTGCAAGTAATCATATCCAGTTGCAGAAATATGCTCGACCCAGCTCAGCCTTTGCTCCAAAATCGTGGATGGAAGACAGTTTGAATAGAGCTGACAACATTTTTCCTTTTCAGGTGAGCATACTCTGTTATATCCATAAGAAAAATAACACGTAAGTGCATTAAAATGCCCTACAAAGGGTCGGGGGTTTGAACAGTACAGTCTGATTATATGACTTCTGTGCTTGCAACCGAAAAAAAATATGGCTAACTTAAAATGTCATAGTGTGAATTATTGCTCCGAGCTGTGAATCGTGGGTTTTTTTGAATAGTGATAGTCATGTAAATATCTGTTGCCCACCAGACATCTGTATTAGCCAGTTTCCTTCAGCTTAATACTTACACACATTCAGAAATAGCTGATGAACAAATTTAGTTACAAGTAGCAAGTGTATCTATACACAGGAGTAAGGAAGAAAAGTGCTGCCTGATGAAGTATGAAAGATCTGAGGCCTTCTAAAGTATTCGAGAATGTACCACAGCTGAGAAAAAGTATTAAGTGATTGTATTTTGTTTTACAGTATCATATGGATTTGTCGTGCAACATAATTTTTGTAGCGTTTTTTGGAAACTTTGAATTTTTTACATGATGCTTATCAACGCAGTTTGCTTTCCTCAGTAATGGCAGCAAATTTTGGTTACAGGCCATCACCAAAAATAGATGTGGACGAGTTTCAGTTGATGGTCTCCTATATTTTAATATGGCCTTACCCTGTCAGGAGGCAGGTTGTCTGGCCGTTCAACCTCTCCTTCTAGGCTGGCTCTTTATGAATTTGAAGAGAACTGTATAACATTGAACCTAATTTGCAGTAAAAATTAAAACAGAAATACTCTTCATCTGACTGCTAGTTAAACCTAGTTTTTATGTGTGTGTGCCTTTTGTAAACTCCTTTAGGGTGAATCCAAAAACACAAGAGTTCTTGAAAAACAGCCCACTAAATGTAAAAGATCTTCAAATAAGTGCAAAAGTAAAAATTTCAAAACGATTGCAGTATTCCTAGCCATGCTGTAAGAACCAGGGTGACCTACTTTAAAATCATTTGAAAGATCTGTACGTAAAACCCGTGCAATATGTATCATGTTGTAAACCACCCGAAAGAAATACAAATATATTTAATAATGGCTTTGTGGATTCACACATAGGAACAGTTCGGTTCTTCATAAACTATTCAGTTTCTGTTTGCAGCCTTCTGACAACAGGAGCTGCTGGCAATAACTTTCCATTAGAGACCTTTTTTCTACTGCAGAGCTACTAGCTGGTTTAATATCAGGTAGAGCCCTTGTAAACTTAGAATGCATAGTAAGAATTGATTTTAATGTCAGGATTTGTAATTAATATAATGAACCTGTGTCCAGCATACCAAATTTATACACCGAAACCATTAGAGAAAGGGACACAGCTGGAGTCGGTCTTTTTTCAGCCTCACTGCAGCAAGACTTGGCTCAGAGTTTAATTCATTCTGTACCCTGACACATAGCTGATGTTCAGAGTGACAGAATGAGATCAAGTGTGTCCTTGCTGCTGTGTATAAGGCCCAGATATATACACAGCGACAGAAATGGGCTTGGTTTGCCATCAAGGAAATTTCAGGAAATTGGCAAAGTCAGCCTTGACTTCTGGGTTGTGTTCCAAACATAAAATATCAGACACACGTATTTTGATCAGGGTAAAGAAATAATTTTTGTGTAGCGTGTTGTTATCTGTTTACATAAACACTAAGATAAAGCTGTACATGTCAAGACCAAGTCTGACACTTCTTCATGCCAAGAAAAGGAAAGTGTTGGAGTGAAGTACTTTCCAGTCTGTTACTATCACTTCTGTGAAGAAAAGGGCAGGGCAGCAAAACAGGACTTCAGCACTGCAGACCTAGAAAGATGCTGATTAATTTTGAAGCCATCTTGGACAACTGCTTTTTAAAACTTTTTTTCTGGTATAAAATCTTTAGCTCCTTTGGTCACTTAGTCATTTGTGTGTTGAAAGCATACTGAATTTTTGAATCGCTGGAAACAAATGATGCAAAATTTGACCTTTGTCTTTTTATTTTTTCTTGATTATGCTGACTGTGTGCTTGACTGAAAGCAGAAATAAGGAGTTTTGCTCATTGTATGTTTGTGTTCATGCATATATATATGAAGTATCCTTGATGATGCAATCATGTACTGGACAAAGCTATTTTGTTACTGGAATCTTCTTGGATTCCTATTTAGGAAATAATTGAAAGCTGTCTTTGCTGCAGCAACATAATGGAGTAATTTGATACAACTATCCCTTTCATTTAATATTTATGTTTTGCTGCTTAAATCATTAACAAGTGTTGCTGCAATATAGTGAAAATTAGTTTCTTTAGAAGGCAAGGTGTAAACCAGCAATTGGAAAAATTTGGGGATCGCTTTTTTTTTTTTCCTCAAAGGTTGTCTCTACTCCAAAGCTTGCTGAAACACAGAAGTCTGTGTTTTGATGGAAATCTTAGGGAAACCAAGTGTAAGTGCTTGTTTCCTCTTCGGAGAGGACAACATTGCATAATGTCCCTATAAGCCACTAATGTGAACTACAGCTCACTTCAAATGTTTCTGCCCATGGCCCTCAGCTGCTTGCCATGAAGTGGGTATTCCAAATGGCACAGGTAAAAGGAAAATGCCATGGTGATCTGTTTGATAACCCTGCAATTTGAGGAGTGCTTGTTTGGTATGGAGAGCTACATGCAAAACATTGTGCTTTTTGTTGTAAGTATTTCCCATTTGGAATTCTTTCTCATAACATTTCAGAAGTAGCATGTCTGTAGGAACCTCTTGTTACAGAGATGGAACTGCAAGCAAGGTCGGAGAAGACTGTTACCAGATCTGTTAATGAAATTAAGTTCTGATATTGTGCTTTAGCCACTGGGCAAGCTTCCCCCTTCAAAGATCTTTTGAAAAGAGAAAAGCCATTGTTCTTTGTGCGTTCATTTGAAAAGGAAATGGTCTCCAAACCAAAAAATGGTTCCTGAATAAAAAAAAATAAAAATTGAGTCTTTTGGATACAAGAGCCTTCCCTGAGAATTAATGAATTAAAATGCTTTGGCTGTGGCTATTGCATTTTCCAAAGTTACTGATCTTTTAAATAATTCCTTCTACGTCTATCCCAGCAGCACTGACAAACTAAGTGCTCAGTAATTGCATTTTACTGCAGCATTGCCCTTAAGATTGTTTTGGCTTTCCTTTTGCTGTGTACTTGCACTTCCTCGTGAGAGTGGAACATCCTGCCTGTTATGCAATGCATAAATCTTGCTTTGATAGGCATTTCCAGGTTTCCAGATCTCATCTTCAAATGCATGACGATGTATTTTATTTTGGTCTTTGAAGGCACAGGCAAGTTAAGCAATAGTGTTCAGCTTTCTGTAAAAATGATTAAAAATAATTTGTTTCTTCCTGGAATCAGGCTTGAAAATGACTGCCCATTTCAAAGAATTTTGTAAAGCGGTTCATTATATCCACTTGTACAAAATGTTTTTTCCTTTCTTCTACAGTGGCTAGTTTCCAGGTATATAACCCCTTCCAAATCCATTGAGGGTCTGTGCCAGGGAGACTTTCTCTTCCCCCAGGCAGATATGGAATGTTTGAGAAAACACATACGTGATTACAGAATGTGTTTTAATTCTGAGCTATACGTCATTGTTTGTTTGCCCATAGAAATGGGTCAATTTAATAGGTGCATTAAACAAATTCATGGGCAACTGGAATTAAAAAAAAAAAAATCTCTTGAATACACTTGCCAATCTTTTCTCTTGAAGGAATTTTGCAAATAAATTTCTTTACCGTGCCTCTTTATTTTAATATTTGCTCTTTGTTTCTGAGGAACCTTTTCATAAATCTTGATGGCTGCTTGCATAAAATGAGGCTACTTGTGCTGCAGAAAGTTTTGCAGAATTTCATTTTTATTCTAGCAACAGCGATTATTCCAAGATAGTATAAATACTTGAAGTTGGATTTTTAAATGTTTGTTCACCCATTTTTCTACAACTACATCAGCTGTGTAGTAATTAGTGTTTTGTATGCTGTTCCCCACAGCTACTGATCTGTGGAATTAGAAGCACTCTAATGTGGTATGACATGCACAAGTTAAGTACTGTGGAAGTTAGCACTGTTCTTGTTTTATAAACTTACTACTGACGTTAATACTTTGGCTTTGGCCCTCCTGTGCGTTTTTGACCTCAGGGTTTCTTTTTAAAGGGAGCTTTTGTTAGAAGCTATTTGAATTATGTTTGTATTTTCCTAAGATTAAAAGGAGTACTCTTATTAAGCATTTTGCTTTGAAAATGGCATACTTAGCAGCCCAGCACAAAGATTGAGAACGCAAGATATTGTGGAAAATAATTTCTAGAAGATACATAAAAAACTTAGTATGTGGCTAAAATAGAATCTGACATGTTACTGGAAATTTTTATAAAGGTCTGTAATTTTTAACACTTAAAAAAAACCCAAAACAAGTTCAAGTTTAAACCAGAAGTGCTCCCTCCCAAAAAAACTCCTATGTTATGCGTCACTTAACTTTTCCAGCTTTTTCTTATTGTTCCCTGGTGAAGCTATAAAAGATGATCAGGGCAGCACACAGCAACATCCTTTCAGGAAAAACCTGTTTATTCAAAGCCTTTAATTCACTGGATACTGGACTGGGAGCTGGAATACAGCATTTGCTGTGGGAAGGAGGAGAAGCTTACCCAGAAGCATAATCAAGTCCAAATTTGCTTTGCAATTAGAAGAAAAATGTGGAACTTGTATTTAGTACCTACAATATTACCTCTCCCTGCACGCTTTACTTTGCCTGAGACGCAAGGCTTTTTAATTGTGGGAAATATGTACAAGGTTTCGGAAAGTTTCAGGCTTCCCGTGCTATAATGAGGGTAGCAAATGTAGTTGTGAGTTTTGTAATTTTCACAAGTATTCTGGTTTGACAAAGATTTAAATATATAAAATAAGTCTCCGTTTTACGACTATACCTATTCTATAAACACTGCTTAATCACCTTCCATAAAATGCTTAATGCAGTGGCATACTTTGCATTATTACTGATGCCCTGGTCTTCAGAGAAATCATATTTTATGAGATTAGGCACAGCCTTAGCTACCAGCAAGTGCTCAGACCTTGCCAGGCTTTACTTTTTGTACAGTTTGGGTTTTAACATTGGGAGGCCCATTGTGGGAAGCACTGAGAAGAAACCCTCAGGTTCTGGAATCTTAACTTTTCAGGTGATGGTAATGCTGTGAGTGCAGATTAAATATAATGAATCTGCACTTTAATAGTTAAGTTAGATGTACGTATTTCTGACGTGCAAGAGAATTTAGGTGTGGAATTTTTAAGTGCAAAGTATGATCTTCCTTTTTGGAATGAAATGTCTTTGGACTTTGAAAAATAGAATTGGAAGAGGAATTTGAATTTAGTGATTTCCTATTTACAAATGGCTCCATTTTTTTTTACAAGACCTCTAAACATAAAATAACCTGTCTGGGTGCTGGTGGGGAAACAGCTGTAGTCACAGAGGTGAAGCGTTTTGCCCATACTGTATGAATCCAATGACAAAGTTGTGACATGAAGCCCCAAGTTCTACTCTCTGTGCTTTAACAATGAGATTGCATTATTATGAGCACTCTACACACGTATAAATGATTTCTAGACAGTAGGAGAATCAGAATAACTTTATTTTTCTGTAGACAGAGCTGGCCAGTGTATAGTTCAAAACTGTTGTGTTTGTTGTTGTAGAATATTTACAGTCTCGATAGCTCTCTCTTAACCAGATCTGCTGGCTGTCACCTCTTGTATGTTATTGTGAAAACAATACTGCTTATTCAAAATTATGTTTAGTGAATGTCTTTTGAAACGGGGGCTGACATTTTAAATATAGTCATGTATTAAGACTGCAGTATGATTTCTTTCTTTTTGGTTGTTTTTTTGGTGTCTTTGTTGTTTTTTTTTTCTTTTGTTGTGGCTTTGTGTTCAAGCTGATGTCTTTCTCTTCTGTTTCCCAGGGATAAATATGTGTGCCCATTGAGCCCTCTGATAAAGCAAAATTTTAGATGCCCTAAACAAACTTGTGTAAAGCCAAGGTCTTGTGATCAGCCTGGGTAAATAATATCAGGCTGTAGTTAACTTATTTTGTTACTGAAGTGTACATACTCTGCTTTATTCCAGGGTAGTCATTACCCCTATATCTTTTCTTTATAAATAAACAAGTATACAGTAAGCAGTCCAACTCTGTGGAAAGCACTGTAACTTCATGCGTTGATCCATTAAAAACACCACCATGTTGTTGTTAATTCTCTCTACATGAAGTCTCTTGAAGAAAACATCACTTTTCTCCTAAGTACAGCATGGCTTATGTGCTTTATAACTCATAACCAACGTGTATCTGAGAATAGCTCACATTCAGTTGCCAGTTAATGATCAATATATTGGCTGTTACAGCTTTTATGATGTTAGGGAATTAAATGTATAGTTTCACATTTCTTCAGTAATATGACCAGTACCACTAACCTGTCATCAGTCTTTATTTTTGTGTTAGGTATATAATACATATATAGATTTCACATATAATGTGTTTCTGATAAAACGTGCTGGCCATCTTGGAAGTTAAGACTGGCAAAATTTGTGCTACTGTTTTCAAAGCAGTTTTGGAATAAAAGGTCTTTAAATTGTATAAAAATTCTATGAAACTACCGATGGTGGCTTTCTCTAGTAGCGTGGATCCTTTCAGTATCAGGACAAGTACTCAACTAAATTAATGGAGTTCTTTTATATTAAGCACTGTGCAAACCTCTGAACCAGTTGAGCATGGCATTTTGGCTGGTCTTTATTTAGGACATACGTGACTGACATCTTGTCACTGGATAGATGTGTACAGCTTTACTTACATACCAGGTTCTTGAATTACTCTGCCTTTCCAGAGAGGTGGATCGCTGCATTAATTGCAGGAATATATACAAGTTCAGTGTAACAGTAGTAGTGGCTCTTAGTGTTGTGCTTAACTTGGTTTGTTACCTTCTAATTAATAAGCAGAGACATGGAAGAGCAAACTGTTTCAAACAATCCAGGAGTAAGACTGATCTTCCCAAGGGCGTTGAGGCTGGGGCAGTTCAGCGCCATGAATTGACGATGACAACTAGATGTGCTGTAAGCACAGAGACCTTTTGTTGCAACGACAGGCAAGAAATAGATAGTAACGTATCAGCATCTGGAGGGTGCTCTAGCCTATGGCGGTCTTCTCCGTCGCTGTGACAAGTTACTGGAACCACTGGAGAGCACGAGTATGAATGTGGGCCACATTTTAGCCAGTCCTCCTTTTTATGTGACTGCTAACAGCCGCAGGTAGGAATATGACCAGTTAAGTCTTTTCTGTCGGCGCATGTTTTAAAATGTTTGTGGTACAATTAGAAGGTTATGGACCTTATAGTACAAAAATGACAGCTAGCTGGTTCACTCTGAAGGGGAAAACTATAAACTCCTCACTGCACAAAGCTTCCCTTGCAGAATGTGGTGTCCCTGTCAGCTAAACAGTTCATTTATTTTTTTCCCCTCAAATGTTTAAATTCTGTGTTCTCAATCTTAAAAACTTACCATTGCAGCAAAACCATCTGTTTGTTACTATAGCTCGACCCAACATAACACAGATGTTTTGGAGACGAGACTATCTTCGGGCTCACGTTCTCCAGCACATACTCAGCACAATAAACTAGAAATTCCTCGGCCTGGCTTTCTTCTTTTGTGTCTGTCGGGCAACTGAAACGTCAAGTGCCACAAATTCAACAAAGACTTGGAACTACTGAGGTTCTGCACTTTGTGAAATAAGAATTTTGTAGCTGTTCTTGGGTTGGTCTTGATTCCACACAGAGAAACACAATACGCTATAAAAGCCAGCATGGAGAAGTAGCTACCGAGGGACGTCAGGTTTTCAGAGAATGCTCCCACCAGTGTTTTAGGCTATTTTTATCATGTTGTGAGGGCTGCTGAAAGTGTAGAGACTGTCTTCCAACATCCATTCCTGAGTTACGTAGCTGTTGCATCCTAACGTGTCCAGGATGCAGACCCAAGGTTTTTACTCAATCCTGCTAAGGTATTTTAGTGTAGCTAGAGTTTGAAATAGTTATGAACAACTCGTGTATAAACCAAAACAATAAACTAAATACCACTAGGAAAGTAAGAAACCAGTAGGAAATGTGTGAAAGTAAACCACAGAATTTAAGACTTTAAATGCTTGTTGTAATTTCTCTAAGGTACCTCAATTACCTTGTAATATAAATGACCAAGGAAATAAATTCTGTGGAGAGGCAGGGCAGCACTATGCTTTTTATAGCAAATTTGATATTGCACTAGACTAATAAAGCAAATGGTTCCAAACTCTGATCTTTCTAATGCTATTTGAAATGCAGAAAGATTTTCCGGGTAGAAATCTTTCACCTGTTTTGTCTCAGTAACAAACTGTTCTGAAGAGAGGAAAAATATCAGAAAATTTTGTTGAAAAAATAGTATTTTGTTGTGGTCAGAATGTAACTTACGAACTTGGAAATGGATCAGGACTTTAGGAGCTAGTGGATTTCTGCTCTTAAAATGTTATTAGGTGTTTAAAGTCCAAGATGACTGATGGTCGATTGATATAAAGACTGTCTCTTGCAATGCTGCAATCAGTACTGCTGTAACCATTTTTTGGTTAAAAATGCAGTACTGCAATACCATTTTTTACTTCACCACTGGTTTTAAAAATGATCAAAGCTGGATCTGTGTGCTTTGGAGAAATTTCAGCTTCACAGCTAGAGTTAGGGACAAAAAAATATATATTCACTGCTGTAATAACAATAGTTGTAGAGAAGCAGTTTATAGCAAATATCTATCTTGAATTGCTCCCATTTTGCTTTCTTATTTGAACAGATGCTTTCCATGCTTGATCTCAGTTCAGAGGTGACTCTTAGAACATGAATGAAATAAAATCTTTAGAATTTATGTTAGAGTTCTTGGACACAGAAAAATTAAATTCAAGGTGGATTAATATAATTGAATAAAATTCTATCCAGGTGTTTCTACAAATGTCCATTTGTATAAATACATAGATAACAGGGATAGGTGAACAATTTTGGGAATGAGTTTTTGCTTCTAGTAGTGACCTTTTATGATACTGTGAAGATTTTAAAGTTTCTGTATCCTTTCAGTTATTCTGAATTTGCTAATTAAAATAATGCAGTGCCAGGATATTTTATATTGTCTTACGCTAATGTAGGGTCAGATTTGTATGATGTGGAATTTGTTGTTTTAGTTGGGAAAGTCTGAACCGTACATGTGTTAAATGATGACTTTGGTTAAATGAAGGAGAAATATTTGGTAAGTATACTTCAAATGGCTTGAGATAATGAAACAGTAAGGTACACCAGACATCTTGCCTCCCGTTTGTTGAGTACTCCTTCAGTTCTAGTAATGCTTGGAATACCAAACTTGAAAAGTCAGGGAATTAAAAATCCGAGTGAAGTTGTCACTTAGTAAGCCAGACTATTTGGAACACTACTGCTTGTATGGAATACTTTATAATTATGCAGAATTTGAACTGACTATGCAGAATAAGATTATTTAAGTAATTGGGGTAGTAGTTTAGGGGAAAGAAATTCTATGTGTTTCTGGAATTTAATTGACTTAGATTTGGGATGAAATACCTATTTTATGATCTCTTCTTGCAATTCTGTCTCCCAGCATACGATCTTTACTTCCTAACTGCGAAATTATTTTTAATGAAGTTTAACTGTATAGCAAGGAATACAAACTAAATATTGAATTGGGGTTCTTAAATGATCGGTTGTGAATAGATCAGATTCATATTTAAGAATATTCTGATTTTAATATTCCTATCTGACTTTAGTGGTATATGTGTTTTTGCTTAATTATGCTGTAGTAATGTAGAACAAAACTGAAGTTTTTATGTTTCAGATGGTGTTGTTTAACACTGTTGCCTAAACTGGCTTTATTTGTATTTGCTTGTAGGATCGCACAAGGACTTTTGACATGCATTCACTGGAGAACTCGCTAATTGACATAATGAGAGCTGAAAATGATTCACTGAAAGGTAAATTTAGAAAGATACTGTTTCCTGCAGTAAATAATTGGGAAGATGTGCTTACTTAGAGTAAGAAACTTCAGGTTTGGTTAGGAAAAGTAAAATTACATTGTGCACCTAATACATGTCAGCTTGGGTAGGCCTCTTTTATTTTTGGTTGTCTCTAGATGAAGCTGTTGCAGCACATGAGCACTTGAGTGTGTTTTGTCTTAATACAAAACAATGCGAAACGCAAACATAAGCTGATCTTTTGTGTAAATTGCCAGTGTTGTTTTTATAGACACAATGTGTGCAGCCTGTAAAAATGATCAGCTTCAGGAATCTTGTGTAGCTCAGTGAGATGTAACTTCTTGCTAAATAGTGTTTTCCTACTGAAGTCATAGTTCTTTCTGTCCTGGGGAAGAATAAGGTTTTACTATGTCATTTTGAGAAGAACATTAAGTATTTAATCACATTTTTTTTTTAGTTCTTTACCTCTCCTTTTGTTGCTACCTTGAATTGCAGAATTCGTGCCGTTGGGAGGTTGAACTGACTTGCAGTTAGGATTTATCGTTTTTTTTTTCTTCTTTCTTTTTTTTCTTTTTTTTTTTTGGCCAAGGTAATCTTTCTTTGAAAACACCTCAACTTACAAAATATTCAAAGCATTGTCTACGCATTTTACCTAAACCTGAATAGAAACTGCCTCTGGTATACAATTCAGAAGTCTAGTTTCTTATTCTTGTTCTGTATAGTGAGTAATTTATTTCAGTTTGATGGTTACTTGTATGAGTAGAAGTAGTCAAACTCTTACTTATGCTCGTTATCTAAGCGTTTAGTTTTGCTACCAGTCATGAGACCACTAAAAAAACAAACCTGCTTTTGTGGTTTCTGAAAGTAAATTTCTTTCGATATCAAGGCTTGTGGTGTTAATTAAATCTGTCTTGTTTTAATAGTGATTCTTGCTCAGAAGACCAACCTGATAAACTGGCAATAACTTGAATTTGTTGCATTCACCATGGTCTGAAATGCAGCTTGCGTTTCTCATCCCCAGTACTGTGCAGCAATTCGGGGTGATGAGAAACAGCAAGAAATACACATTCCTATTGAAACGACAAGGAGAGCTTGATGTAGATAAAAGTAATGCCAAATGAATTAAAAAAACAAAACCCATTCCCCCCTTATGTAGTGGGGCCCAGGCTTTTATTAATGACAAGTAGTAAGAGCTTTTGTTTATTTTATGTGCTGTCTGGCAACATCCTATGCCCCCAGCGTTGTATACTGAACCAAGAATCGGGCGCCTTTCCTTGACTGCAGCACCTGGGATTTGCCATGACACCTTCTGTTCAACTGTCAGGCAGGCTCAACTCAGGTTTTAGTTGCTGAAATCTGGCAAGGTAACAATCCAAGGTGATGTGGCTGTAGGACAAATAAAATTTCCCTTTAAATTTGAATTTAACAAAGTCAGGTTCATATGTATTTATATTCAGCAACTAAACAAGGGTAGTTCTGTACAGTAGTATAGTTTTTAGTTTAAATGCTTTGAAAAGATTCTTTGCAATTGAAATCTTTATTTTAGTGTTTACTATGTTTTAAGAATGATAGAATAAGTGTGTCAGCAAAGGATATGTATAGTTCTGATATACATTAATTCGTGCTTGAGCTTGATTGTTAATCCCCTCTGCAGTCATCTATGGTTTGTCTAAAGTTTTGTGTGTGTTGCATCATACTGATTGAAACACAGTAATATCAATCAGGTATTCTGGGAATTATTTCTTTAGTTCTTTATAAATTGTTCTGTTTCATGGTTAATAGGTATAAAACTATAAAGAAAAAGCCTCAAAACTGAGATGAAAAATTTAAGTGATCCTATGTGAAATACTTTGTTGTGAAGTCTTATTTTTCAAGGATTTCCTCAGCAAAAACATTAAGTTTGCTTACGGTGAAATATTCAGTATGCTGAACTTGACTGCTGCTTATCTGGTATAGCGTACAGTAACTTAGTAGTTGTAATATACTCAGGAATAGATCTTTATTCAAACTAGCATCTACTGTGTTGTGATAATGCTGCAGTGATCATCCTTAAGTAGGGCAGGATTTGTAAGGAGAGGAAATACCTTTAGTTAAACCAACTGATACAGCTGGAAAAAAATTGTAACTTGCTCGTACAAAACATATTTCAAGTCAGGTCTGAAGAAGGGCTCGTGTGATCACAAGCCTTTTGTGGCTTTTTTTCCATCTGTATCAGTCGGTGTATGATTATGTCTTAACACAGATTCTCTCTCTCCTGTTTTTACTTTTCTTGCCTTATCTTTGTTTAAACCGATTGAAAGGAATCTTTAAAAATCTTGGATCTAGAAGGCTTGAAATATGACAAATTATGATTGTCAGTTTAAATCTTGCTTGCCGTTTCCAACACCTGCAGTTAAATAAGCAGATCCATAAGAAGTTTTCTGTTTTGCATTTTAAATGAGTTAATTCAGTGCATAGAGTGCTTTTTAACTAAAGTTGGGTAGTCTCAGAAAGGAAAAGCTTCTGGGTTTGAGACTTTAAAAATAGCCTGGGCAAGACACTAGTAAAACATACTGTAAAGAGCAATCTCAGAATGGCATGGAAATAATTTAGATGATCTAATAGGTCTCACTGCTATCTTATGAGTCTTTGAGAGGCTTTAATATTGACTTAACGTGAGTTTAGCATGTAACGCTACCACCACCCTCTTTCATATTGTAATGGATTTAAGAGAAAGAGGTACTATGTTAAAATATACCTTCAAAACAACTTAAAGAGTATGGACATGATAATAGATACCAGTCGCAGTTTGGAACCTGCGCTCTCTTGGAAATAATTTCTATCTTCAAATGGTGTGTTCAGAGCAGCAGGTTTTGGATCCTGTAATAAAATTCTAAGTAGGAATTCTTCAAAATTTAACAAAATCCATTCACAGTGCATACTTCTTGACTGAGGCGATTAGGCTGTGCTAGTCTTGGATCTGTTTAGGACAGTAATAATTATGTTCTTGGGTTGTCCCGCTTTATGGAATAGTGTTTCCTGCTTGAGGTTCAAAGGTGAATCTTAACTATCATTGATTCAGTACATTCAGTATTACCTTTTAATGCTTTTGATAGGCCTTTTACCACTTCCCCCCCTCTTTTTAAGGTATATTTTTATCCCTGCTCAAATCCTCTTCCTTTGCTGAGCAGCTGCCATTTCAATATGTTATTTTTATCCACACGAGTGAGTGTGCTGCATGCTGCATAGCCAATGACAGCCTGCAGAAGCCTTTCCCTGGAGACTAATTGCATCTTCTTTACAATGTATTCGGCCTTCGCGAGCTGAGCCTGGGATCCAGAGACTGATTTTTGAATCTGGGTCTTCCAGATGGCAATTTGAGCATTACTGTAATAGTAGTAGATTGACTAAATATTTCCTTGTTAAGTGACACTGAAACGTCTTTAAATACTTTATAACCACAGACTGTTTTATTACTGAAATATCCTATGGTTCTGTTCAGAATATAAGGTTATTGCCTGGAAATTATGCAAGGTGAAATGGATTAAAGAAGCAGGCCAGTACATCTGCTTCTAGCACTGCAAAGCACTCCTGTAAAATTTGGGTGTGAATAGCTCAGTATCTGCGTGAATGCTGTGAGTCTCTAATACTAATAATCTCTAAAGTCTAAACATATTTATGTACAAAAAGGAAGGTTTTAGAAGTAGTGTAAGGTCAGAATATGTGTACAGACACTGGGAGAGAGGATGGAACAGCACCTCTAAATTTTAGAGATGGAAAACCAAAATGATAAGAACGGGCACCATTTGGGTTTCTCTGAGCAAGCAGATATACCTAACGCCGTTTTTAAAGCAATCATCAGCCCTTTAATGTTGGTCTGAAAAACTATTTCAGATGTGAAGAAAGTAGGTAAACCTTACAAAGTGTTCTTTGATGAGAGGGATCAAAATAGTTTTGACAGCATTATCTGGATATTGGATAAGAAACTGAACTAGTTGTTTCCTTTCTAGCTGTGTGGATTATGCAACACGTTCATATTAATTGAGTAGGACGGGCCATTTGCTTTCCTATATGATCCAGAAGATTGATGAGAATCTGGGGAGAACCAGTCCCAATTTTTGCCAAGGGCTAAATAACAATGGCTGATTCTTTTTAGGGAAGTGTCATTTATATATGCACGGGACAAAATCTAAGCTATTTTAAGATGTAAAATAATAGATTTTGAAGTTTTTCTTAAATTTTAAAACCATCATTGTTTTCATAGCAGTGAGGAATGCTTGAGCGTGGTGGCTAAGGTCAACCTTTCTTCCCTATTCTTGGTCCGTGTGAAGAGTTCCATGATCTAGTTATGGAGATCTGAAAGTCAAAGACCTCCGGCAGATGTGTACATCTGTCCGGGCGCTGCAGTCATCTTCATGCCTGTGCTGCCCCTCGGACGTGAGTGAGCTCTCACGGGGGACCGTGGCGGTCGCACCTCAGGCGTCGGGAGCGCAGCATCAGCGGCTGGTCTCATTCCTGTGCCTTCTCTCAGAACAGCCTCACCTAAGGATTACTCACTTGCAACTTTTTAGTGTGTCCAACTTAGGATAAAATGCACAAAAGCTTTCACTTCAACTGCAGCAGGCTGTAGGCAATTTTTTGGAGACAATTGGGTTTGCTGTAATTGTCTTTGGAAACTGTGGATGAATTACTGTGCTGAATATTTCCTACTCAGGGTCCTCTTGGATTTTACCTCCTATGCAGTAACCAGGAATGGCTAACGGGATTTGAAGACTTGAACGCGTATTAATTAAGAGGAAAACGAATTGTTTTACTGTCTCCAAATATTGCTGAACAGGGTCTAATAGCAATAAACAACAACCCATGCTGGTGGAGCTGTGATGGGGGGGACACAGGCTGGGTGCATTTTATTTGAAATCAGCAGCCCCATTCCTGTTGCAATCCATGGTTTTCCCTGGGGTTAGAGTAGAAGTGTTCTAACTGCTCTTAACAAGCAAGGGCACGCTTTCTTCCCAAATGCA